AAGGAATGGGCCTGGGCCAAAATATTATACCTCCAAGTTGTGTCATATGCCTTCTCAAGGTCAAAAAATATGGCAATAACTGAGTGATTATTCGCAAAGGCATTACGAACATACGTATCCAAGCGTAGTAAGGGGTCTATGGTAGAATGACCCTTACGAAAGCCATATTGACTAGCGGAGAGACTGTTGTGTGTCTCTAAATACCACATTAAACGTCGATTTACGAGACGTTCCATCACTTTGCAAACTGCACTAGTAAGAGCGATGGGGCGATAGTGGGAGGCATCATGTCCTGTAGTACCCGGTTTGCGGAAAGGGAGAACAATGGCAGATTTCCACAGCTGGGAAAGAACTCCTTGTGCCCAAATAAGATTGAAGAGGTGTAAGAGGACTACAAGGGCTGACCAATGTAAATGTTGTAACATACGAATATGAATGTCGTCAGGCCCAGCTGCCGATGATCGGCAAGCTGAGAGCGTGGCCTCCAGTTCTTGAAGTGTAAAAGGCACATTATACTGTTCTTCTCTGAGAGAAGAAAAGTCCAAGGTTACTAACTCTCTGGCAGACATTTGAGGAAAGAAACGAGGGGCATAGATGGAGCCCTCGGAAATACGGACCAGATGTGTGCCAAGTTCAATGGCAACCGTCGAGAGGGTTTGCTACATCAACACCAGCGACCCGTAGAACAGGAGCCGGGTCGGAGAGTATTTACCACCAATTTCCTCACTTTTTTCCAGACTGCACTCATAGAAGAAGCAGAGGTGATGGTGGAAACATAGTCTCGCCAATAAGTGCGTTTAGCTTCACGGATGACACGGCGAGCGATCGCACGCTTCTGCTTAAAATCAAGAAGTCTCTCAGCGGTTCTATTGTACCGGTACCTGCCCCATGCAGCACATTTCAAACGTACTGCACGAGCACAAGCAGGAGACCACCAAGGCACGCACTTCTGAGAATGCCTGCCTGAGGTTTGGGGTATAGAATGAGAAGCTGCGGTATAAACTGACGTCGAGAAGATGTGTAGGAGCTCATCAATGGAGGATGAAGAAGGAACCTCACTAAAAGCAGTGAGGTGTGAGTAAAGATCCCAATTTGCCCGATCAAATTGCCAGCGAGGGCTACGGAAAGGTGGTGAATAGGAAGGAGAAGTAAGAATGATCGGAAAATGATCGCTGTCATGTAAGTCTGGTAGAACAGACCAGGTGAAGTCTAGTGCAGTGGAGGAAGAGCAGACTGATAGATCGATGCACGAGAGAGTATGAGTACGAGGATCAAAATGGGTGGGAGTACCCGTATTTAAAACATGGAGGGGGTGAGAGGCGAGAAAAGCCTCCAACTGGATGCCACGTGAGTCACAATGAGACCCCCCCCAGAGGAAATGGTGGGCATTAAAATCACCAAGTAACAGAAGTGGTGGCGGTAAGGATGAAACAAGAAAGGCAAAGTCTGGGATAGAAAATGCCCGAGAAGGAGAGAGATATAAAGAACATATTGTAAACCACTTATTCAAGTGGATTACGGGCTGCAGTGTAATGCAGCGAGGTATGGACAAATAGTTGACAGTACGGAATATCATTGCGTAGAAGAAGGGCACTTTCATTAAAGGTCCCATCTGAGAAAGGATCCGAAGAATACAATAATTAATAGCCTGAGATAGGTTGGAAAACAGCCGAGTGTAATTTTGGTTCTTGTAAGCAAGCACCAACAGGGGAAAACCTGGAAAGCAACATCTGAAGCTCACCCCGATTACCCCTGAGGCCGCGGCATATTCCACTGTAAATAGGCCATGATTGGCGATGAAGAAAATATCAGGAATCTGTAGTAAAGGCACCTACGGACTAGAGGGGTTAGAAAAGTCAACTTGTGGTGGCATTGGAAGACGTTCAAGTAGCGAAGGAACGGAGCGTTGCGAAGAATGGGGTTGTGAAGATGGAGGAGAGGGAAGAGAAGGAACAGGAAGTGAATCAGTGTCCATTGAAGGTTTAGTCTCTGCAATAATATTCTAGAAATGTGCTTCAAGTGTTTCTGAATTCAAAGATGTATGTGAGACCATAATTGAAGATAGAAGGAGGAGGGTAGTAAAGATTGGGACAGTAATGGACTGTACCAAAGTAGAGGGGGAGGGAAGAGTGTAAGGGACTGGAGATGAAGTGTGGGGGGGGGACAGAAGAGGCAGAAACCTGGGAGGTGCAGAAGAGGGAGAAATTGGGAGGGGACGGGGGTGGAAGGCATAGTACGAGGAGAGGGTGAATCTCCACACTTGTAATAGAGCCAGAGAGAGGGGGGGAGAGAACTAGGTACAGAGACTGGAAAGTAAAGTGTGGAGGTGGAATAGGGGAAGGAAGGGCAAAGAAGATTTGAGCAATGTGATTTTTTGGACTTCTGAGTAGAGGGGCGATTGGTATTAGGTGTCGTACGAGGTCTTGTCGATACTGGGGCTTGTGAGGAAGACGCGAAGATGTTGAGGAACAGACTGAGTTATAGTCGGGACGTCAGAGCCAAGGACAGCACAAGGATTAGATGCCGTAGTGGCTATGGGAGGGGTAACAACAGAGGAGGCTGTAGAAGATGGGACCACAGAAGTGGGGGGATGTTTGAAACACGAGAATAAGAAACACGGGGTAGTCTCCCTTGGAGGCGGAGATGAGTAACTGCCATAGCATAAGGGAGACCTTCTGCCTCTTTGAGCAACAGATTCACGTTCATTTAAGTAGACCTGGCAACGGCGGGAGTACGAAGGGTGAGCTTCATTACAATTAAGGCAAGATGGAGGTGACTGCAAGATGTATTAGATGGTCGTCAGCGCCACAGATGGTCATTCGGCCATAGATCTGCAATATTTCTTGGGGACCAAACGCCAGCAATTTCTACATTGTTGCGGTGTAGGTATCACCTTTCGAACTGTAACCTATGCCCGCGACATATACAGAGGACGGAGTTCTCGGCTGTCAAAAGTTAAACGAGCCACATTGCAAGGGTAACGTCTCCGCCCCGGGCAGGGAAGGACATAGTGTTCTACTTGAGGATTGGGGATCCTGGAGTTCCAGCTGATTCAAAAATGTCATTGCCACATGACTGGAAATTCTGTAGACTAAGGTATGTGGGCAGAATGACAGTACCACTACAAGAATGGAGAAAAATGTTTTTTCAATAGTGATAGGAGTAGTATCAATTTCGAAAGGAGAGAAAGATCATGAGCTTGGTATGCATTCTGGACAGTGCACATATGCGCATACCGCTACTTGAGAGCATGAAAGGAAAATATCTCTACCAACATGACGCAGGAGCGCTTGCCAATACTATGGTCAGAAAGGTAGGCAGAAGAAGAAGTCGGTCTTAAAGTAAAGAATTTAGTCCATTGTGTGGTCCGAAACTGAGCGTGGAGAGGGAGTGCTTGACGTGTTGGTCTTTTCCAAGTAGAATGGGAAGGTAACGAAGGAGCATCATCAGGAGATTGACGTTGGCGTTTAGGAGTAGGACCGGAGTTGGTCCGGGGTGAAATGGGCGGGCGATTCGAAAATTGCCGTACCGTAGAGGGAGAAGCCGGAAGCATAGTCAAAGGAGAGCGGAGTTCAGACAAATTGAAGGAGTCAGTCGAAGCCCCGGTACCTGAAGCGGGTGAGGAAACAGCACTAGCAAGAGGTACAGGGGCATCAGGAGTGTCCGAAGAGTGGTCTAAACACAAGGCAGGGTCAGAATGGGGTGCGGTATCAAGAAGGGGCCCCAGGGGTAGTGGGCTCATGGACTAGGGCTGCCATGGTTAGGTTGCTCCTTTGCTTTTTGTTTTTAAGAAAAGAAAATAAAAATAAAAAAAAAGAATAAAAAAGGGGGGAGCGGGGAGGAATAGTTCCCAGGAGGAACGAAAGGGCCGGAAATCTCCCTCCGCGCCCAAGAGGACCTCAGCACTGCTAGTAGCGCAGATGCAGCATGGAACCCGTGCCATACCCTACCCTTCATGCCAGTAAACCAGCAATCCGGGATAGCAACCTCACATCTGCCGAGCTACCTCGGTGGACAAAAGAGAGGGCGGCCGGATATCCGCCACAAAGCATACCTCCTTCGTCCACCACCCCCGGAATCCGAAAGGTGGCTTCCAGAGATACACCCGTCGCCTGAAAGACACCCAAAGCTACTCCGGGATATCGGAGAGGGATCGGGACATCCCCAGGCAATCCAGATTCCACGGCAAACTACGCCACCGCCAAGAACCTCAATGGAATGGGATGGACCCCGGTGTCCTTTCCCCTACCTAGGAACTAGCGCGCCTGTGGGAGAAATCCCAAAGGCCAAAAAGAGGAAGGGCAAAAGGGAGGGGTGGGGAGGAGGAGGAGGAATGGAAAAAGGGGTGGATGGGGAGGATGGGATAGGGGAGGGGAGAATGGGGGGTAATTAGGTTCGGTCTGAGGAAGAAGACCGACAGGGCTAATTCCTCAGACCAAGAGCCTCTTCACCACGCCAAGGAGCCCCCCTTGAAGAGGTGTGTGTGTTTGAACACTGTTTAATTATATAAACTACGATTTTCAGGAAACTCGTGCTGGTTACCAGCTTTTAACAATTTGGTTTACTTATCAACAAACTTATTGTGCTACTGAGCACTTTATAATGAACTGAACTTGAAATTATCTTAAGACTATTTTGAGGGTTACTGGCACCACAGCCTGGTCTCAGACCAGGCTTCCTGGTTGATGACCTAATCAACTGGGCTATGGTGCTAGCCATGCAGTCTAACATATATATCTTACAGCCCAATATACACTAGTTGTGCTTATCAATAAACACTGGTGAGTGCTTATCAATAAACACTGGTGTTACTTAAATGCTGGTGCTATTTATTAACAAAGTGTTGCTACTTAAACTCTGGTTCAACTTCTCAACAAACTCGAGCTGTCATTTGAGAGTCTTATCTGACACTGATGCTGCTTAAGATGCATTTTTTTTTTTGTAAGCTTAGAAAGTGTATAACCTTGTGTAAGAGAAATGTAACATTCTTCTCAACTCACCCTCGTGCTAGCTTGGGTCTTGTATTATCTCTACAGTCTCCATGCCTTCATCATTTCCAATTGTTGGGAACAAACTCGGAGATGATAAGTCTGCTTGCTGTAGCTACGTCAGTAAAATGAGAGAGAAATACCAAACGTTATATACAAGAAAGAGAAAAATAAATAACTTGCACTATTTTCTATAAAAAATTAATTTCCCATATTGTACATGCATTACTATTATATTCAGCAGCAGCACAAAACCCATGGGACTTTAAAGTCTGATACAGGAAAAGAAAATTCAGATCTAATCCCTTGGATCAAGAGTCCTCATTGGCATCAAGGAACCCCCCTCGAGTGGTCTAGTACATGTAAATTTATCTGCCTTCTACTTTTATAGTGGCCTTTGTAGGCACTGTGCATTTTGCATGACTGAATTTTTCAGATGAATTTTGAACTGAGAGACTGTGATGGCTATACAAGTCTGTGAACCAGTTGCAGCAACATCCTGGTTGGCCATACAGTCAACAAAGAAGTCTGGTCTTGAAACTAGTCACAGATATTCAGAACAGTATTTCAACTGCAACAGTAAATATTCTCTAGTGTTATCACTTTAGTTTTTCCAAGTAACTGCCCTGCAGTTGTTAAGGTGTAAGTTGTTACCCCTGTTGGGTGTTGCTTAAGGAGTGGTTGGGAGAACAATTTACAACTAATACATAGTCAAAATAAATCTTAAGATGACATTTCTGTCTGTCCTGGACCAATATCAAGTAACAAATGGTAATTATTCAGGACATACTGAAATGTTTGAAGATTTTTTCTAATGTGTGAGTTGGTTGTGAAGCGGCAGGGGTTACATTATCCATCCCATCCAGTATTTTTAGTACCTAGGTAAGTTATCAACCATATTATATCTTGGAGATAAAAGGCATAAAATACTGACATTGGAAAAATAAACACAAATGCAGTATAATATGATCCTTTATTGACTACGTTTCACCCACATAGTGGTCTTTATCAAGTCACAAACATCTACCTGGGTAAAGAGTATGAATATATATAGTGTGGAGAATGTTGGGTAGGTTGTATTAAGAGACGAACCTGCAAGGTTGTCTCTAATACAACCTACCCAACACTCTCCACTTTATATATACTCATGTATCCTTTACCCAGGTAGATCTGTTTGTGACTTGATAAAGCCCACTGTGTCGGTGAAATGTAATCAATAAAGGATCACATTATATTGCATTTGTATTTATTTTTCCAATGTGTCAGTATTTTATGCCTTTTATCTCCAAGATATAATATGGTTGATTATATACCTCGATACTAAAAATATTTGTTGGACAAGTTACCAGACCTGCAGTGCTTTGCCTATTCTGATGTGGCTTGTGTGCAGAATTAACCCTTTCAAGGTTTCCAACGTACTAGTATGGCTTATGCACCAGGGTTATTGACATACTAGTACGCCTAAATTCTAGCGCCTTCAAATCTAGTGAGAGAAAGCTGGTAGGCCTACATATGAAAGAATGGGTCTATGTGGTCAGTGTGCACAGTATAAAAAAAATCCTGCAGCACACAGTGCATAATGAGAAAAATAAAAAACTCCGACCGTGTTTTTGGTTTAAAACAGCGACTTTGCAGTGTATTCTCGTATGGGATTTATGGTTGTATTTTAGTTTTCCTGGTCTCATTTTATAGAATGGAAGACATATTACAGAAATTGAGATGATTTTGATTGGTTTCATAATGAAAAGTACCTTGAAATTGAGCTCAAAGTAGTAGAAATGTTCGATTTTTACCAAATTTCAAAAGTAAACAAATCATGCCAAGTGTCCAATACACGTCAACTGGTGAGTCTAATATTCTTTCACAAGTATGCTGATATTATTTATACCATTTCTACACTAATGCAGTAGTTTGCATAACAGTAAATCTTTTATTTTTTGTGAGAATAAAAATTCAAAGCGAAAAGCAAAAGAGATGTAAGAGGGGCTGGGGACGTGACTAATGAACAGAGAAAATGTTATTTTAGTGACAGGAATGTCTGTCTTGTTTATTCTGGACCCTATTTGGAAATTGGCATCTTCTAAAAATTTGTGTGAAATTGGATAGTTGAATCGGTAAATGGGTGGTTTCTTGTACTCATTCGATGGAAAAAATGGAGTTCTAGTGAAATAGATATGATTTTTGTCGACTAGTACACTGGAATTGGCCGAAAATAAGGTTCGAAGTGGGTGAAATCGCCAATGCGTAAACATCGTCGAGACCGCTAACTTCGTGAGAGCATAATTCTGTAAGTTTTCCATCAAATTTCGTACTTTTGGTGTCATTATGATCGAGAAAAGATTCTCTATCATTCCATAAGAAAAAATAATTTTTTTTCTCCAAAAAATTTTTGACCCTGAGAACAAGTTTAGGAGAGGGCCTCTCAACCCTAAAAGGGTTAATATAGTAGTCAATGAGAGGACATACGAGTTATAATGGTAAATGACAGTTTTCTATCACCTGTATTTAAAGGTAAATAAAATTATTCCTTGACTTTGGTTTAATTTTTCCACAATTGCTTGCTGCGTTGCTTTTAATGAAGACTGGTACACATATCATTTCTTTTGTTTTGTTTGATTTTAATGTAATGTTGCTCATATGCACAGGGATACATTTCTTAGTAATAAATTGCATTTGCCAGTCTATTTACTGATCATTTATGTACTTAGTGTAGATCACTTTGCATGAAAGTACCGCAATGTCTTCTTTACTCTTCACCTTTCTATTAATTTTGGTATTCGTATTTAACATCATCCACAAATTTGATTACATATAATGAAAAGTTTTTATTATGTACAGTAGATCACAATCATGGATAGTCCCAGAATAAATATTTTTGGCACTTGGCAGTAAGATCCTATGACACTACTGTGTGATGTACCTTTGTTTTTATAGTGGAAAGCCTAGCATTTCTTGTGACATGATAGAAAAATTCATCAGGCTTTGTGGGGAGTATTGACAAGCCTGTCCACTTTAGTGACAACTTGGTATGTCCAAGTAATAAGAATATATAGGATCCAGTAATCTGATGAAAATGTATAATAAAAATTTACGTAAATACAAAAAGAAATCCAGTCTGATATTTAAGTTTTAATTTCAAGGCTCTTAACAAGAGGTGGTGTAAGTGCTACAACCCCTGAAAACTTTAAAATAAGGCTAAATACTATAAGATAAACATCATGAGCTTAGCTCTGCTCCTGTAGCTACTAATAGGTAATCACATTCATTAGATGATCATCAGTGTGAACGTTGTAATGAATGGTTTGAAAAATTGACAAGTTGAAGATTGAGACACTTGTGCAACACATGGGAATCTTTATTCAGGAAACGTTTCGCCACACAGTGGCTTCATCAGTCCAATACAAAGTAGAAATGCATAAGGAGAGGAGGAGTTTGAGGTAATCAGTCCCTCAGCCTGGAGTCGATGTGTTCAGTCCATCAATCTTGTAGAATGTACAGCATAGGGCCGTAGACATGGCTTATATACTCTAGTGAGGTGAGGCGAAGCAGGAGGAGGTGGGGTCATAGTGGTACCATCCACTAGTTGAAGTAGGTCTTCGTCCAAAGGTTGGACAAGTGTTGAAGAATTCTTTGTAACAAGATCCCATGATGCTGCAGTGTCTGACAGTTGTAATGAATGGTTTGAAAAACTGACACGTTGAAGATTGAGACACTTATGCAACACATGGGAATCTTTATTCAGGAAACGTTTCGCCACACAGTGGCTTCATCAGTCCAATACAAAGTAGAAATGGGTAAGGAGAGAAGGAGTTTGAGGTAATGACTCCAGGCTGAGGGACTGATTACCTCAAACTCCTCCTCTCCTTGCGCATTTCTACTTTGTACTGGATTGATGAAGCCACTGTGTGGCGAAACGTTTCCTGAATAAAGATTCCCATGTGTTGCATAAGTGTCTCAATCTTCAACTTGTCAGTTTTTCAAACCATTCATTACAACTGTCAGACACTGCAGCATCATGGGATCTTGTTACAAAGAATTCTTCAACACTTGTCCAACCTTTGGACGAAGACCTACTTCGACTAGTGGATGGTACCACTATGACCCCACCTCCTCCTGCTTCGCCTTACCTCTCTACAGTATATAAGCCACATCTATGGCCCTATGCTGTACATTCTACAAGACTGAGGGATTGATTACCTCAAACTCCTCCTCTCCTTACACATTTCTACTTTGTATTGGACTGATGAAGCCACTGTGTGGCAAAACGTTTCCTGAATAAAGATTCCCATGTGTTACATAAGTGTCTCAATCTTCATTGTGAACGTTACTTTGTAATTGTTTTAACAGACTATATCTCGATTAAAAAAACACATGTAATATAATACATACTAGAATATTTGTAGCAGCCCCAGGAACACTGAATTTCTTACACCAACAGGTCAGCAAGGATTTAAGGGTAGCAGGTGGTGGTTGGTCCCGTCCCCCAATCCATACACGAGATACTCCCCAGACGCTTGTCCCAATCTCGTATTCTGCCTCTATACCTATACAGCAATATACAATAATTTCTATAGGTAACAAGGTAAGAATTCAGAGCAACTTTATCAAAATAAACAAGTGAGGCAACAGGATTCAATCTGGAGAGACTTCAACAATCACAAGATATTAAAAACAAATTCTTTGATTTTTTCAGTAAGTAACAGAGTTTCAGCATGTCTGAAATTTCTTAAGACTTTCATAGTGACTGGTCAATGTAAATGTGAAAATTAGTCATTAATAGAAAAAATAAATAAGAGTATTTGTAACTGTGAGGCTTTAGCACCATTAGGCCCCCCTGTGGCTGCACCACTTAACAAGACAAATAAGAAATGGAAAGTAAAGAATATTGGATGTAAATGTAAAGCATATTAGAAAGTAACAATATACATTAATTAAGAAACACTGTTTACTCTAAAAACACTGGCATTTACACATTTATCCATACAAAGCTATTCAAACCAAGTATCATGTCTTAAAAGTCAAGAATGAGTGCTTGCCTAACTGCTTGCAGGAATCAAGCTTCACCACATAGGCCCTGTCTCTTTAATCATTAATTGATTAGTGATGCATCCCCAATTGTATTTATATTTGAATTAGTGAATGGAGTTTGCTTTTACCACTTCTTACCCTTGTGCTGTGCATTTGCATGTACTTAAAGTGTGTTCCCTTATCCTAGTCCTCCTCTCAAATATTCTGTCTCTCATCATCATACCATGGACAAAATAAAATAAAAGCCAGAGCTTATTATCTTTTACCAATAGTATAATAAATATGATAGTTGTCTCAGCAGAAGACACTGAAAAGCTTATTTGCAAATATCAACACATTTTTCCACTGTGCAATAAAGACATCATTATGTTCAATAGTGACAACTTCCAGCTGCTTCAATACAGAAAGAATGAAAAATTTAATATAAATACAAGAAAATGTAGTCATATCTTGTTAGTGAGCAGAGGAAACAAGGAACATATTGGCAGATGGCATAATGTTTAGAGAGACAAAGCCACTGTAGTTATGGCCAGGGAAAAAAAAAGGATAAACAACTTTCAAAACAAGGTAATGCCACTCTTCAAAGCACTCTTGTTTACAGTACTGTTTTTGTGGTCAATCTCCTTTCTGGGCAGTAGATATATCCATGCTAGAAAATAGAAAACATTTGCTGTTCATACAAAATCAGGAGTGAGTGAGTGAGTATGTCATGAAGACAAAGAGTACTATACAATACCTATAGTGAGAACATGCCAGAGTTCCACACAGTGCAGACGTAGCCCATACAGGTAACAGTTGTCCCGAGGGAAGTAAAGGGTACCCCTTTCTGTCTGTATTTGACCAAGTAGTGGATGAAGATCTGTAATTTTCCCCTAGAAGATACATTAAAATTATATTAAATTAAGATGTACATGCCAAATAACATTTTAAAATTTTTCAGTACTTTAATCATGACACACATTGAACTAAACAAGGACTAAATATTTCATAAGTGAAAAATTGATCATGGTTAAGTATCCACATTAAGAAAATGACATACAATAATATACTGTAGTTGTATACTGTACCTTGTAAATGGATTTTGATTCTCTCAATGAAGTAATTTCAGTGGTAATATTTTTTTCAGGCAAGGGTTTATTCTTCTTACCTCTACTTCTGCATCTTTTTCTCTTTGTGCTAGCCTGTTGCTCAGACTCTCCAATGAGATTGCCAGTACTACCAGCTACTGGTCTTGTTTCACTACTGAGACTGCTGGTGCTACTGGTTTGTGGCCTTGCTTCACTATAGAGGCTACTGGTGCTATTGGTTTGTGGCCTTCTTTGACTACTGAGGCTGCTGGTGCTACTGATCTGTGGTCTCACTTCACTGCTGGTCTGTGACCTCCCTTGACTACTGAGGCTGCTGGGGCTACTGGCCTGAGGCCTGAGCTGACTAGTTAGGCTGTGGGTACTCTTTGTTTGTGGCCACATTCCACTGCCAAGGTTGTCCTTGCTAATGGAATGTTGGTGTTTATCTTTGGACACTGGATAAAAACTTGGCTTTTTTCCTTGCCACGCTAAAGTCGCTATAAACTCAGGCTGTCCCTTCTTCATTTTGCACAGGGAACGTTTCTGAACAATACAATTCCAAAAATATAAAGACAGCTGTCCTAGCTGTTCCCTGCTAACTCTCTGTCCATCTTTATACATGGAAGAGATACTAACTTCAGCTTCTCCCATGCCATTTTCCAAAAACTTGCTATATATTTTAAGAATTCCAGTGGTTTGGTTGACTTTAATAATTTTACAGCTGGTTTCGAGTATTTCGTCCTTGTGAGGAGCATTTTGTTTATGTATTTTTGAAGACTGGGATTCAGTCTTACCTTTCCACAGCACAAATGGTTTAGATTTCCAAGTCTTGACAATATTCTCTGCATCAAGAGGTTTTTTACCTGCCCAACCCACAACTGCCACATGCTTGATATTATATCCATAGAGCTCCATGGAAATATTGGCCTCATAAATTATTGCACCAATATTTGAAAACTTTTTCAGCATACTTTTAATATTTCTTGAATCAGAAACTCTCTCCTCATTTATAAAAAGGTCTTTATTTTGAAGCAGTATAAATTTTCCTGTTGCTCTGAGTATAACAGCAGCTGTTTCAACTTCCACTAATGAGCATGTTAAATACTCTAATTCTCGTTGGTTAGCAACCTTGGGATTGTTGTCATTACTTGGTAATGTAACTTTATTTGTAAGTTTGCTGATGCTATTTGGCTGTGATCCCACTTTATTAGTAAGGGTGCAGATATTAGTGTTCTGTGGTTTCTTTTGACTTGTAAGGTTGCCAGTAATACTGTTGTCTGGCTTGACTGAGTTACTAGTGCTTTTAGTCTGTGGCTTCACTAAAGTACAGATTTTGTTTGTGTTACTGGAGTTGCAAGGCCGGGTTTCTTTTATTTGTGAGGAGTAAGAATTTGGTTTTTTCCCCTGCCAAGCTAGAGTTACTACAAACTCGGATTGTTTATCCCTTTCTTTACATAGAGAACCTTGCTGAACTAGACAGTGCCACAAGTTATCTGAGGGTAAGGATTTAAGCTGTTTTTTTGTAACTGGAAATCCATCTATAAACAAGTTGGAGATATTAATCACCATCTTTCTAGTACCACCTTCTAGATATTTGCTACGTACCACAAGTATGGCAGTGTCCAGCACAATTTCAATAATGCAACAGCTAGCATCAAATATTTTTTCTTTTGTTGAATCATTTCCTTGTATACCTGGAGACAATGAGTTATGATTATTTTTGAGTAAAAGGTTTTGAGGGTTCCAATTTCTTATGATGTTATGCGTGTCAGGGGGTTTTTTGCCTGCCCAAGCTAAAACTGCCACATGTTGAACTGTATAACCCCAGATATCTATGGGCCTATCAACTTCATAAAATACTGTTCCAACAGTCTGAAATTTCTTCAGCTCACTTTTTAAATCTATGGGTTTGGTAATTTTCACCTGGTTAAAGAAAATGTTTTCCTTGGTGGCCAGTACGAACTTCCCTGCAGCTCTTAAGATAACCATATCACCTCGAACTTCGGCCACTGAGCATGTCAAACAATCCAATGTGGGTTGTGTAGCAAGTGCTCCATGTTTGACATAATTTTGTAACTCCTGCTGATTACTGAGGTTAGTGGCACTGCTGGTCTGTGGTCTTAGTTTATTGCAAAGACTGCTGGTGCTACCAGTTTGTGATCTCCACTGACTACTGAGGCTGCTGGTGCTACTGGTTTGTGGTCTCACTTTATTATCAAGGCTGGTAGTGCTGCTGGTCTGTGGTCTTGCTTGATTATTGAGGCTGGTGGTATTACTGGTCTGTGGTTTCACTTTGCTATTAAGGCTAGTGGTGCTACTTATTTGTGGTGTCACTTGATTATTAAGATTGCTGGTAAGTGGTTTCACTTGACTAGCAAGGCTGGTAGTGCTTTTGGGCTGTGGTCTCACATGACTATTGGAGTTATTAATTTTATCTCTCTCAATTTTTTCATCCTGTGTATGGTTGGCATTAATAAGTTCATTAGATTCTACATTTTTGTGCACTACTTCTTTTTTAAAGTTTCCCTCTATGTTTGCCAGATTTTCATTAATTTCATCCATTGCTATCTGAAGAGCTTTATGGTTACTTTTTTCATTAATACGACCACATGAATTATCCACCATACACAATGAAGATGAATGAGATTTTATCATCAAGACAGTCCATTTGGCATCTTCACTGTCATGCTCTTGTTTTAGTATATGTGCTTTTAAATTTCCTTTGCAGGTTAAAGATGGACTCTGGCCTTTAACTATACTATATAATTGGTCTCTTGTGAATGGCAACCATTGTTTGATTCCATCAATACTGAATGTTAGTTTGCCTACATTTTTTGAGATGCTTGGCACAGAATCCACATCACAATATAGTGTATACATACACTTAGACTGTATATAAAGGCCATGAGATTTTCGTCTGTAAGTTTTTCTTTGTTCAAGATTCATGGGCAATGCATTTATGGGTGGCCTTTGTCCAGTCCACAGACACGTGCATACATATTTCAGAGTACCAGCTTCATCTCCTTGTAATAATTTAAACACAGTTGCATACACAGGACTAGAATTATCTTTGTGCAAATGCATCATCTTTGACTTATTTCCATCCACAAAAATAACATCATCACAAACTTCTACATTAACTACATTATCATCAAACTTGACTCTGATATCTCTATCATTTGTGCTCAGTGAACTTAAGTCACAAATTAAACCTCGCCCATCAATGAACATATATGAATGCTCGTCATTTGTATCGACACAAACTGTAGGTTTTCTCTCTATCCAGATGACCAATGCTTGTAAAATTTCCGAGTTGGGAGAAGTAATAGCGTCAAAATGAATTCTAGTGCCATCTGGTACCTCTGATAGTGGAATGGGATTCTCCCCTCTCCATAATATTCTGCAAGTGTATCTTTGATTCCCTAGTACTTGTAAGCCCACATAGACTAGTACAAAGGCTCCTTCCAACTCTGCCAAGATCCATCGATTTCCCAGCACAGTGCATAGCTGCCCAGAGTGCCCATAGAGACAAGTAGATCGGTAGCAACATGGGTAGGGGTTTCTACAAGAGCTATGCATTCCTAAATCAGACTTTTCAAAGAAAGTTTCATCCTTTTGCTTATTTTCCACCACCTCATACTTAGTGGTTTCTTTTCCACTGTCAGCTAACAAAGTCTGTAGAGCTTCTAGAGTCTGCTTTGGGTCTAATGTGTGTGGTGTCATCTGTCTGTCTGATGATGTTGGACGAGTATGTTCCGAAGACAGTGCAGTCAGAAGGGTGTCTAGTGGTAGTGTGTCCACTGCTGCTGGTGGTAGTGGTAATGTGTTCACTGTTGCTGGCAGTGGTAGTAGTGTGTCCACTGCTGGTGGTGGTGGTAGTAGTGTGTCCACTGCTGGTAGTGGTGGTGGTGGTAATAGTGTGTCCACTGCTGGTGGTGGTGGTGGTAACAGTGTGTCCACTGCTGGTGGTGGTAATAGTGTGTCCACTGCTGGTGGTGGTAATAGTGTGTCCAATGCTGGTGGTGGTGGTAGTAGTGTGTCCACTGCTGGTGGTGGTGGTAGTAGTGTGTCTACTGCTGGTGGTGGTGGTAGTAGTGTGTCCACTGCTGGTGGTGGTGGTAGCAGTGTGTCCACTGCTGGTGGTGGTGGTAGCAGTGTGTCCACTGCTGGTGGTGGTGGTGGTAGTGTGTCCACTGCTGGTGGTGGTGGTAGTAGTGTGTCCACTGCTGGTGGTGGTGGTAGTAGTGTGTCCACTGCTGGTGGTAGTAGTGTGTCCACTGCTGGTGGTGGTAGTGTGTCCACTGGTGGTGGTAGTGTATCCCCTGCTGGTGGTGGTGGTGGTGGTGGTGGTGGTGGTGGTAGTGTATCCCCTGCTGGTGGTGGTGGTAGTGTATCCCCTGCTGGTGGTGGTGGTAGTGTATCCCCTGCTGGTGGTGGTGGTAGTGTATTCCCTGCTGGTGTGGTGGTAGTGTATCCCCTGCTGGTGGTGGTGGTGGTGGTAGTGTATCACCTGCTGGTGGTGGTGGTAGTGTTTCCCCTCCTGGTGGTGGTAGTGTTTTCCCTCTGGTGGTGGTGGTAGTGTTTTCCCTCCTGGTGGTGGTGGTGGTGGTGGTGGTAGTGTTTCCCTCCTGGTGGTGGTGGTGGTGGTGGTGGTAGTGTTTTCCCTCCTGGTGGTGGTGGTGGTGGTAGTGTTTCCCCTCCTGGTGGTGGTAGTGTTTCCCCTCCTGATGGTGGTGGTGGTAGTGTTTCCCCTCCTGATGGTGGTGGTGGTAGTGTTTCCCCTCCTGGTGGTGGTGGTGGTAATGTTTGCCCTCCTGGTGGTTGTAGTGTTTTCCCTCCTGGTAGGGGTGGTAGTGTTTCCCCTCTTGGTGGTGGTAGTGTTTCCCCTCCTGGTGGTGGTGGTGGTAGTGTTTCCCCTCCTGGTGGTGGTGGTGGTAGTGTTTCCCCTCCTGGTGGTGGTGGTGGTAGTGTTTCCCCTCCTGGTGGTGGTAGTGTTTCCCCTCCTGGTGGTGGTAGTGTTTCCCTTGCTGGTGGTGTCTCCCCTGCTGCTGCAGGTAGTGTGTCTGCTGCTACTGGCACTGTCGACTGTGTATTTGATAATAGATGAGTCTGTGCTAAAGAGATTGTGGTCTGAGGCATATTTGGTGGCAGTGTGTCCAATACTGGTGGTGGTGGTAATGTTTCTGTCATTTGTCTATCTGACAATGTTTGCTGAGTCTGTGTTGGTGGTCGGTTCTGATGTGTGGGTGACAGTGGTGTTCTCAGTTGTGTATCTGCCGTTGCTGGTAGTGGTGGTGTCAACTGTGAGTCTACTGCCACCAGTGGTGGTATCTGCTGTGTGTTTGTTAGTGATGTTTGTAGTGATTCTGTTGCTGCTGATGGCAGTGGTAGTATCAGCTCTAAGTCTGCTGCTGCTGCTGATGGTAGAGTTAGCTGCATGTCTTCTGGTGTTGGTGGTATCATCTGGGTATCTTCTGCTGCTGCTGGGAGTGGTGATATCAGTTGTTTGTGTAACAGTGATGGGGGTGGCATTGTCAGCTGTATATCTAGTGGTGGTGGTCTCAGTTGTGTGTTTGGTGGTGATAGTGTTGTGAGCTGTATGTGTGCTGCTGCTGATGTTGAAGTTTTTACCTGTGCACTGGGTGATGACTTTTGCTGGGTTTCTAGGGGTGATAATGAGGGTGTCAGCTGTTTGTCTGGTGATGACAGTGAGGTCAGATATACATTTCCTGGTGATGGTGTCAGGTTCCGGTCTGCAGGTGATGATGGTTGTGGCGTCAGATACAAATCTCCTGGTGGCAGGATCTGCTGTGCTGACGGTGTTATTGCTTTTATCTGTGTGTCTGGTAGAGTTTGTGCTGAGTTTGTCACTGATAGGAGCGGCGACACTGTGAGGCAAATGTCTAGTGTTTGTGATGTCATCCTGCTTTTATCTAGTGATTGTGATGAAACTGTGTATGAGTTTGGTGGCTGTGATGCCATCCTGTGAGAGTCTGCTGGTTGCGATATCCTGTTTATGTCTGGTAAATGTAATGTCATTTTGTCTTTGTCTGGTTGTGATGTTATCCTGTGTGCGTCTGGTGTTTGTGATGTCACTCTGTGCTGTGACGACATGTGTGCGTCATGTGGGCCTGGTGTTATCCTGCTAGTGCGTGATGACAATGATGTTGCTGGCTGAACGTCCAGAGATACTGTCACTTGTGCATCTGATGATGTTGGTTTAAGCAGTGACAAAGTTGTCTTGGAGGAGGATTGTGTGGATATTGGCATTTCAGGTAGCGAGGCAAGATACCACTCTTTCTGGGTTATCTCTGCTTGCTCTGTATTACCACCCGTTGAACACCTGGGGTTTTCCGGGAAATGATAATCCAAAGATCCATAATAACTTTGACCTTGAGTGCAACTGACAGGCACATTTTGCTTGTATGCCGAGCCTGCTGTAGATTCATCATGTCCCTGCGACACAGACGGTAAGAGTGTAGTATCCTCTCCCACCTGGAACTGATTAGTATGTTCAAGCAGGGTAGCTCCGGCTGGGTCACTACAGGTCTTGTTTACCACTTCTGCCGTACCATGTTGCTGCTCACCGGGTCCACGGCTTACCAGGCCACGAATCCATTTGAACATGGCCACTGGAGGTATTGAGAACACATTTTATTACTGCAGCACCATAAAAGCCTACCTCTAGAATTTACCTGTTATAGATTATGACATTAAAGTAGTGACTGGAAACATTCATTAAAGACAAAATTAGCTTGCACAGCACGTTTATATAAATTACTTAAAAAAAATCTGCTGTGCAGGCGAAAAGTCTCAATAATTCCCAATAACTGCTATTGTTGCTTGCACTCGTGTCACGATTTCACGAGATAAGTGCATCTCTGATTAGCCATATATGGAACAATATAATAGCTGCTCTCAAACACTACCCCACCTTCCTCATATCCAACATATGTAAATCGCCACAAGACATTAGAAAGATATCATTTTATCTCAAAGATATAACTTCAGTACATAACTTTATACCAGCAATACTTGATACTGACTAGCACAGAAAGTTTACTGACAATAGAGAAATTGATGAATGGGTCTTTTTTTCTACAAAAAAAAAGAAAGATGAGAAAAAGCCTTTGCAATGTGCATTGTCCTATTAAAACTAAACAGATCATAGCAAAACAGACTAAACAGCCCATGGCTAACAAATAACAGTTCAGATTAAGATTAATAGCTAAGGAACAAACCTAAAACTACATCAGTACTTACCAATTTAATAATAAGGTCTAAACAACTAAAGAAAAATAAACACATAAGCAGTATAATGTGATCTTTTGGAAATAAATGGTATAAAATACCGACACAATGGCAATATAAACACAAATGCAGTATAATGTGATCCTTTATTGACTACGTTTCGCCCACACAGTGGGCGAAACGTAGTCAATAAAGGATCACATTATACTGCATTTGTGTTTATATTGCCATGTGATCTTTTATTGACAACATTTCGCCCACGCAGTGGGCTTTATCAAGTCACAAACAGATCTACCTGGGTGAAATGTACATGAGTATAGGATGGAGTCAGGTGCAGAATGCCGGGTAGTTTGGATCTGTTGAGGACTTGAACGGGACTGGCGGGTGCTTATGTAGTTACGTGGGATAACGATGAAGAAGTTTCTTGGCAAGGGGTTCAGCTGTGTTATAGAAGCCGTTGTTTTGGTTGAAGTTGTTGGATATACAGATAAGTGATGATTCCAGGATTCTGCAGTTTACCTGGAGACCTGGAGAGAGTTCCGGGGGTCAACGCCCCCGCGGCCCGGTCTGTGACCAGGCCTCATGGTGGATCAGAGCCTGATCAACCAGGCTGTTGCTGCTGGCTGGCAGTATTGAGTGTTTTCTTCTCTGGTGATAAGTCTTGCGTCTCTGTAGTTATTAATGGTTGTGTGAAATTCGGTGCTGAACACAGGCATTCACAGGCAACACCGAAATTCACACAACTATTTAATCAACCACAGAAACGCAAGACTTATCGCCAAAGAAAACACTCAATACCGCAGAATCCTGGAATCATCACTTATCTGTATATCCAACAACTTCAACCAAAACAACTGCTTCTATAACACAGCTGAATCCCTTGCCAAGAAACTTCTTCATCGTTATTCTGGAAATAAATGGTATAAAATACCGACACAATGGAAATATAAACACATATGCAGTATAATGTGATCCTTTATTGACAACGTTTCGCCCAACACAGTGGGCTTTTTCAAGTTTGTGACTTGAAAAAGCCCACTATGTGGGCGAAACGTTGTCAATAAAGGATCACATTACACTGCATATGTGTTTATATTTCCATCGTTATTCTACATAACTACATAAGCACCCGCCAGTCCCGTTCAAGTCCTCAACAGATCCAACCTATGAACATTAAAATGGTATAAAATACCGACAGATTGTTAGGTAAGACACATATGCAACAGTTAGGTATCTTTATTTTGAAACGTTTCGCCTACACAGTAGGCTTCTTCAGTCGAGTACAGAAAAGTTGATAGAAGCAGAAGATACTTGAAGACGATGTAATCAGTCCATCACCCTTAAAGTTTTGAGGTGGTCAGTCCCTCAGTCTGGAGAAGAGCATTGTTCCGTTGTCTGAAACAATATGAAGTTGAAGTGACAGAATCGGGCCTTATATAGTGCCAGGAGGTGAGACGTAGGTTGATTTGGGAGGGCAGGTCCTTCTCAAACCCAGCCGTTCTCACTAGTAGAGGTTGTCGAAGTAGATGGTCTGTACCAAGATACCCTTGTGTTGCAGTGTCTGACAGAATGAACATTAAAATGGTATAAAATACCGACAGATTGTTAGGTAAGACACATATGCAACAGTTAGGTATCTTTATTTTGAAACGTTTCGCCTACACAGTAGGCTTCTTCAGTCGAGTACAGAAAAGTTGATAGAAGCAGAAGATACTTGAAGACGATGTAATCAGTCCATCACCCTTAAAGTTTTGAGGTGGTCAGTCCCTCAGTCTGGAGAAGAGCATTGTTCCGTTGTCTGAAACAATATGAAGTTGAAGTGACAGAATCGGGCCTTATATAGTGCCAGGAGGTGAGACGTAGGTTGATTTTAATGTTCATTCTGTCAGACACTGCAACACAAGGGTATCTTGGTACAGACCATCTACTTCGACAACCTCTACTAGTGAGAACGGCTGGGTTTGAGAAGGACCTGCCCTCCCAAATCAACCTACGTCTCACCTCCTGGCACTATTTAAGGCCGATTCTGTCACTTCAACTTTATTGTTTCAGACAACGGAACAATGCTCTTCTCCAGACTGAGGGACTGACCACCTCAAAACTTTAAGGGTGATGGACTGATTACATCGTCTTCAGTATCTTCTGCTTCTATCAACTTTTCTGTACTCGACTGAAGAAGCCTACTGTGTAGGCGAAACGTTTCAAAATAAAGATACCTAACTGTTGCATATGTGTCTTACCTAACAATCTGTCGGTATTTTATACCATTTTAATGTTCATTCTGTCAGACACTGCAACACAAGGGTATCTTGGTACAGACCATCTACTTCGACAACCTCTACTAGTGAGAACGGCTGGGTTTGAGAAGGACCTGCCCTCCCAAATCAACCTACGTCTCACCTCCTGGCACTATATAAGGCCCGATTCTGTCACTTCAACTTCATATTGTTTCAGACAACGGAACAATGCTCTTCTCCAGACTGAGGGACTGACCACCTCAAAACTTTAAGGGTGATGGACTGATTACATCGTCTTCAAGTATCTTCTGCTTCTATCAACTTTTCTGTACTCGACTGAAGAAGCCTACTGTGTAGGCGAAACGTTTCAAAATAAAGATACCTAACTGTTGCATATGTGTCTTACCTAACAATCTGTCGGTATTTTTATACCATTTTAATGTTCATTCTGTCAGACACTGCAACACAAGGGTTATCTTGGTACAGACCTCTACTTCGACAACCTCTACTAGTGAGAACGGCTGGGTTTGAGAAGGACCTGCCCTCCCAAATCAACCTACGTCTCACCTCCTGGCACTATATAAGGCCGATTCTGTCACTTCAAACTTCATATTGTTTCAGACAACGGAACAATGCTCTTCTCCAGGACTGAGGGACTGACCACCTCAAAAACTTTAAGGTGATGGACTGATTACATCGTCTTCAAGTATCTTCTGCTTCTATCAACTTTCTGTACTCGACTGAAGAAGCCTACTGTGTAGGCGAAACGTTTCAAAATAAAGATACCTAACTGTTGCATATGTGTCTTACCTAACAATCTGTCGGTATTTTATACCATTTTAATGTTCATTCTGTCAGACACTGCAACACAAGGGTATCTTGGTACAGACCATCTACTTCGACAACCTCTACTAGTGAGAACGGCTGGGTTTGAGAAGGACCTGCCCTCCCAAATCAACCTACGTCTCACCTCCTGGCACTATATAAGGCCCGATTCTGTCACTTCAACTTCATATTGTTTCAGACAACGGAACAATGCTCTTCTCCAGACTGAGGGACTGACCACCTCAAAACTTTAAGGGTGATGGACTGATTACATCGTCTTCAAGTATCTTCTGCTTCTATCAACTTTTCTGTACTCGACTGAAGAAGCCTACTGTGTAGCGAAACGTTTCAAAATAAAGATACCTAACTGTTGCATATGTGTCTTACCTAACAATCTGTCGGTATTTTATACCATTTTAATGTTCATTCTGTCAGACACTGCAACACAAGGGTATCTTGGTACAGACCATCTACTTCGACAACCTCTACTAGTGAGAACGGCTGGGTTTGAGAAGGACCTGCCCTCCCAAATCAACCTACGTCTCACCTCCTGGCACTATATAAGGCCCGATTCTGTCACTTCAACTTCATATTGTTTCAGACAACGGAACAATGCTCTTCTCCAGACTGAGGGACTGACCACCTCAAAACTTTAAGGGTGATGGACTGATTACATCGTCTTCAAGTATCTTCTGCTTCTATCAACTTTTCTGTACTCGACTGAAGAAGCCTACTGTGTAGGCGAAACGTTTCAAAATAAAGATACCTAACTGTTGCATATGTGTCTTACCTAACAGATCCAACCTACCCGGCATTCTCCACCTGACTCCATCCTATAAATACTCAAGTACCTTTCACCCAGGTAGATCTGTTTGACTTGCTAAAGCCCACGCAGTGGGCTTACATACTGCAGTCAAATGAGGTGAAGCAGGAGGAGGCGGGATCATAGTGGGACCTGCCACTAGTGTAAGTAGGTCGTCGTCCAAAGGTTGGGCAAGCGTTGAAGTCTTTGTACCAATATCCCATGATGTATTGATGTATTTGTATTGGACTGATTGAAGCCACTGTATGGCGAAACCTTTCTTCAATAAAGATTCCCATGTGTTGCATAAGTGTCTCAATTCTTCAACTTGTCGGTTTTCTAAACCATTCATCACATGTCAGACACGGCAACATCATGGGATCTTGGTACAAAGACTTCAAAGCTTGCCCAACCTTTGGACGACGACCTACTTACACTAGTGGCAAGTCCCACTGTGATAAATTAGACACATGTGCAACTCTTGGGTATCTTTATTGAATTCCCAAGTATTAAGATC